GGCAGACGTGACATCTGGTGCGCGGCTTCAGAGCCGCTCTGGGAGGGCAGCTCCAGGCACGCAGGAGCCCCCGCCGGAGGCCGAGCAGGCCCTGGGGGAGGGCCCCTCTCTGGCCCCAGGCCACGGCGCGGGAGGCGCGGCGACCTCCGCGCCCCCGCGGGCACGGGCGCCCGGCTGCCTGCAGGGAGCCCAGTAGGGTGAGCCCGATCCATGGTGAAAGCTCGTTCCACCGCGAAACACGACGCCCCAGGGTCTCGAGCATCATGTGAGAATCGTGATGACTTCAGCTTCTGACAGGATCGTGGCGCACACACTCTAGCGCAGGCGGGATGGGCGGGATTGCAGCACCGATTCCCTGCCTCCGCAGCCATTTCCCTCAGAAGCCCCATAGAGCGCCGTGCTGGCAACACGCTCAAAACTGTACACCAGCGTTGAGTCTAAGGAGCAGGCATCACATTGGTCCTCTTATCCCGAGTGGCACAAACATCACGGCAACTGCAGACGCATTGAATACGGTGAGAGCAACAATCTGCGACGGGAAAGCCCCAACGCAGACATCCGACATAAGACGGGGAAACACTATAGACGCCGGGAGGCCCAGTCTGGGCTGAGGAGTATCGCTCAACTCTTTCTGTCTGCGCTGCTGCTGCGAATCGCGATGGGCTGATAGCCCAGGCATCCGCGGATCGCCCACTCACGAATCGGCGGGTGTGCAAGGGGGGAGAAGGATGACGAGAAGCAGGATTGAATTTGTTTTTGTTGTCATGTTCGGGCCTCCAGGGGCCTCTCAGCTGGGGGAATCCAAGAACCTCTGGATACCTTTACGGACCTGGGAGGAGGAGGTGCCAAAATTTGCCCTCCACTTTCGATGATTCAGAAAAGGAAGCTTCGGTAAATTGTCCGCTGGGTCTGTGGACATCGTCGGCCCATGCTCTGGCCCCTGGAGGCCTCCAGAAGCCTTCTGTGGTCTCGGGGGCCTGAGGGCATCAACATTACCAGGGTCAGGAGAGGCATACTCCTCATTCTCCTCAGTTTGGCTTGAGCGCGGTGCAAGCGAAAATCCGATGCCGTCGACTGGAGGATCTCGAGGTACACTCGTGATCTTCTGCACGTGCTGCGAGGCAAACTCTTGGGCGGGAGGGCAGCGGGGCGCCCAGCAAGGCACACGCGGGCATTAATCCTTGCTACTCCTCCTCGGAGGCTTGGGAGATCAGCAAGCATTGTTGGACGTTTGCTGGGACCCTGGGGCGCCGGCAAGTGGAAGAGGAACGGCTAGGAAACCTTCTCACTCGTGGGCAAAACGCGTAGCTAAGGGCCAACGCAAGGAGGGGACCGGCTCAGAGAGGGGTCTATCGAGCTGTGATCGACGATTCATCGCCGAGAGATCTGCGATAGGCCCCCGATAGCAAATCCGCACCTCTCTGGGCGGTGTGGGCTATCGGGCACCATCGGCCTGTATCGGCGATGAGTGGGCGATTGGTTGTCGACGCATCCCCCCCTGAGCGTATCCCCCCCTGACGTTGCCCCTGATCCTCGTGGGCGGAAACCGCATCCATGTCCACGGCCTCGCGGCCTGGCACTCCTCGACGACGACCTATGGATACAGGGCGGCTTTGTTCCGACGCCCAGCGCGGAACGGACTCCCAGGGTCGCGTGTCCATGGGATCGCTCCTCGCTATCCAGGCCGCGATGGAATGGATATGGATACACCTACTTGCTTATGCTTCGCTTGTTCTGTGGGGCAACTGTTTACGACATTTCCGCCCACTTGAACAATTTGTAAGATCCGCCAGCGTGCCTATGGCACGAAACAGGAGTGCCCCGAGGCTCACGCAGCACTGCGAGGTAGACGCTGTGCTGTTGCTGCTGCAGCGAAAACTGTAAATCTTCAAAGGCCTGGACCAATCGTTTCCAAGGCCTTTTCGGGGCTTGGCGCCGTGAGTTCTGAAGCGTTTCCTGCGCCTCCTGTGGACGCTGTCCCCCCCAACGCGACCCCCCGAACCCTCTCATGAGTCCAAGAGAGCCCCGATCGCAAAACGATCGCTCCAAGACGCCCAAGATGGCCTCAAGATGGCCCAAGAGGCCTCCAAGACGCCTCAAGAGGCCTCCAAGAGGCCTCCCACTCTCAAGAGAGCCTCAAGAGGCAAAACTCATGTACTTCCCTTAGGTGTTTAAAAGATGTTGGAGCTCTCGCCTTTTAGCCCAAGAGACCTAAGAGGGCCGAAAGGCCAATCCAAGACGGCCGAAGAGGTATCCAAAGGGGCCCCAAGACGGCCTAAGAGCACCCCGAGACGGCCCAAGAGGCGCCCAGGACAGCTCAAGAGGGCACCCAAACGGCTCCAAAAGTGGCCCAGAGAGGAACAACGAACTGACCATCCGAGCCTTCCGCCCCAAGAGGCCCTCACATCCAATAGGCTTTATGTCCACAGCCCAGGCACGGTGGCGGGGTGGGCCGAATGGCATTCGATAGGCCTTCGCTGGCGAGAGATTCTTCTGCCAGCCCCTTGCGAAATTCCAACAGCGCACCGAAGGCACTCAGTGGTTCACCAGAGGCGCCGTCGCCAAAACAAAGATCACCAATCCCAATATGTCGCAAGCGGGGCATTTTGAGGCGGCGCCGTCGCTAAATGGTAGCTTGCGGCAAGTTGACAGTCTGGCGATGCTCGAAGCTCGTGGCATCCTCCTTCCTTCTCTTCGTCCTGCCGGACGCCGAACAACAAACGGGGGGCGCAGGCCTCCATCTACCCTTCCACCGTGGAGAGGGGCCTCCCCGAAGGGACACGCCGCTGCTACGAGGCGGGGGGCTCCTCAAATGGCTGCCCCCGTGGCGTCGATCGAGCAGGAGGGGCTTGGGGGAGGGGGGGGGACCAGCCCTCTTCGACCGCAGAGGGGGGCGTCTTGACAAAGGCCCGCCGCTGCTACAAGTCGATTTCCCGTCATCAGGCTTGCCTGAGGGGCCCTTGCTTGCTTTGAACAACCGATGGGTACTGGGCCTGCGCTGGCTGGCGTTCCTCGGGTTCCCCTGGTTCTTTGGGTTCGCCGGGTTCCCTGGTCTTGTTTCCCTCCTGCGTTTGAGAAGGCGTTCCTCGGGTTCGCTGGGTTCTGTGGTCTTGTTTCGCTACATGTCGTGGCCGTGTTTCGCTACAGTGTTCTAGCAAACATTCCTCGGGTTCGTTTTGTTCATTGGTCGCGTCTGCAAGTAAAGCAAAGCAATGCCAATCAATGTCGAACAACAAATAATTTTCTAGCGATGCCAAGGAATGCCAAGCAATACCAAGAGTTGCTCGGTTGCCAAGCTGAACCATGCAATGCAGTGCTACACAATGCTGCCACGAAGTGCCACGCGACGCCAAGCAATGCCAATCAGCGCCCGGAGACGCCAAGCAACGCAAATAATTGCGAAGCAAGCCCATGAAACGCCAAGCACTGCAACGAACTGCCAAGCAGACAAAACAGTGCCAAGCAGCGGCAAGCGACGCCAAGCAATGACAAGCAATGCCAAGCAATGCAAGGCAATGTCAAGCAATGCAAATCAATGCCAGTCAATGCCAAACAACACCAAGCAATGCCAAGCAATGCAAAGCAATGCAAAAAAAAGCAACGCCAGGCAAAGCGAAGCAACGCCAAACAATGCGAAGCAACGCCAGGCAATGCCAAGCAACGCTAAGCCACCCGAAGAAATGCAAACCAATTCATACCAATGCACAACAAATCATAGCACATCGATACCAAACGAAACAACAAAATGCCAAGCAACACGAAACAATGCCGCATAACAAACATTCCCTTAATTGGGGTCGCCCCGGGTTCATTGAAGAATCGCGCTCTCGCCAATCAAGACTCAGAACTCCGCCCAAGACTTTCCTTACGGTCTACTCAAACTCGCATGTTCATGACCCGCCCGGCCAGCCCGTCAAGGTCTGCCCGCGCGACCCGCCTGTTAATCGGGGGGAACGCAAGGGGGGATAGCAAAGGGTAGGGTAGAGAATCAGCTCACGTAGCAAATTTGCCCAGCGCCTCCTGGCGCCGGGAGGGGCCCATGTGCCGAGGACTGGGCCCGGCGGCGGGGCCGAAACCGGCTGCATGCAGCAGATGTCGTCGTGACCCCCCCTTTCCCTATCCCCCCCTCTCGTTCGGCCCGAGTCAAGGTCCACCCGCCCGACCCGCCCACCCGGCCCGCCCCTTCGTTTGCTCAGGAGCCCGCCCGCCAGCCCCAGCGCCCGCCCGCCCGCCCCTCAAGGCAGGGCCCGCCCGCCCGACCCGCTGATCTGCCGCAGGTGGGGTTTGCCGATGAGCTGGCACGAAGAAACAGCAATCCCCCCCTAAAAGCCCAATCCCCCCAAAAGCCAACAAGGGATACGTCGTTCATAAACGAAGAAGGCCGGGAAGCGAGGTTTTGGGTGGTTCGACGTGTCGAAGGAGACGCGGGCGATGACGCGCGAACAATCTTGAGATGGCTGCTGCCGGTGCTGCCCGCCGTGCGATGTTGGAACGGGGAGCGGGCGCAATAGGTTGACGAGCGCCGCGACGCAACCGTAAAACCACTGCCGCAGGCTCGTGTCGTGACGACTTGTGCATTGGTTTCCGATACACGGCGTGGATCGTTCAATCTCAAACGATCGCAGCTTCCCGATAGCGCCAGAAATTCGACATGGGCCAATTCCGGGCCACTAGCGGCGTTCGAACTTGAACGCCCGCGCTGGGGGGGGGGGGGCGCCGCGTCGGCGCTGGAGAACCATCAAAACGAAAACATAAACAGTCGGAGGTCCGCGTGGATTGCTCGGATCGGCGCTGAACCCCCTGGTGGCGTCTCTGGCGGCGCACCTGGCGCACTCCGTAAGCCAGGGAAGGGAGTCCAAGGCCGATCCAAGAAATGCGCGCGGACCTCCCTGGTTTTTCGGCGCGGTTTCGTTGTCACAAGTTTTGCAGAGTGCTAGAAAGTGGCACGCCGTCGTTGTCTCATTATATCCTTATCTGTGCATACGGCAGGGAGAAACAATTAGTGGACACTCCCCCGCTCCTTCAAACTCAAAGTTGGCACGCGCGTGGGAGACTGCGGTCGAAAAACAACTCATCAGCCCCACCGCCAACTTTGAACACCGGGGGATGCCTGCATGCAACACCAGGAACAAGGCATGTACGTGTCCATACCCGCTTCCCGAACCCATGCCATCTTTGTTGACTGACAGACGCGACGAGGGCCCGCAGCCCTTCGGACGCGGGCGGGGAGAGGGCCGGTCCTGGCGGGAGGAGCGCGGGCGGGCGCGCCAGGAGGCCTGGCTCTCGGTCTGGGACTCGAGCCGCTTCACGTAGTCGAAGGAGCCGAGGAAGGAGGTCAGGACCTGGCGCGGGCGGCCTCTCCCTCGAGTCAGTTTTTGGCTTCAGCGCTTGTTGTTGTTGCTGCTGTTGCTGTTGTTGTTGTGGTTGTGGTTGTGGTTGTGGTTGTGGTTGCGGTTGTGGTTGTTGTTGTTGTCGTCGTCGTCGTCGTCGTCGTCGTGGTCGTCGTCGTCGTCGTGGTCGTGGTCGCGGTCGTCGTCGTCGTCGTCGTCGTCGTCGTCGCCGTTGTCGTGATCGTTGTTGTTGTTGTTGTTGCTGTTGTTGTTGTTGTTGTTGTTGTTGTTGTTGTTGTTGTTGTTGTTGTTGTTGTTGTTGTTGTTGTTGTTTTTCGTTTGGGTAAAAAAAAAAAAAAACGAGAACAGCAGCAACAGAAACGACAGCCACAAAAGACCCGCGTCCCCCGAGGGCTGTCAGAGGAAGGGGGGGAGAGGTCGTCGGACGAAGGCACGCGCTGGCCTGGCGGGTGGCGATCGGGACCACACGAGGATCGGCCACTCACGCCACCAGGCAGGCCTATGGCCGCTCCTCCCCGCGGCTTCGGCAGAGAAGAGAGAACCAAGCACGGCGCCACCAGACGACCAGGACGCGCCTGTTTGCGGGCTCGCGCCACGGGCCTCGACGCGGGCTCTCTTGGCCTCGCTGAAGACCACTGTGGGAAGAGGAGGAGGAGGAGAAACAGGAGGAGGGGAAGAGGAGGAAGAGCACGAGGAAGAGGAGGAAGAGGAGGAAGAGGTGGGACGGTCGAGGCAGGAGAAGGAACGAGGCGGGAGGCCCCCCAAACCCATTGCTCAGACGGTATCGGCCGGGGCTGGGGGGTTCATGCCAACCATGTTCTTCGGGAACAACATCCGCATCATGGAAGAATAGGGTATCACCCTTGCCATTCGACTATGGGGATGCGCGAGGGCGCCCTCCACATGGACGGCATGACGGTGTCCTGGGGTGGTGCTCGCACTGATCACACTCTGTGGCGGTCGCAACAGGGGAGCAGGAGAGGGCGACGAGCGGGGGCCACCTCCAATATGTAGGCGGGGTCAGCCTGAACCCAGGTCGCAGCAGGTTCGGGATCCACCAGAAGGGGGGAGGGGACCCTAATGGGAGGTATGAGTTCGATCCGTTGGTGCACCGAGCTGCCCCAAAAATCAGCAGCGGTCATCAGGAGAGGGGGGGGCCCCTCCCTACCAACGGACAGCGCCCCAAGTCTCGCAAGGATGCCGCCCCCCCCCCCCCGGATTTTAGAGCATTGCCATCTCGGACGTGCCCTTGCCCCAATCTGACCGACTTGGAGGCCGCGAGGTCCCCCATGAACACTGTCGATCGCGATGTCAAGGGCGAGACAGAAGAGCTTGCGATTGGGCATGGGGCGAGTGGCAGAAATGTGCCACTGGATGTCCCCAGCCCTGCGCCTACCACAGAAGAGGTTCAGGATCAAGACTTGCGGGCGGCAGATCTTCGGAGGGAGCGGATCCGCGGCCACCCGCTGGATGTCCCGAGGCCGACGGGGCCAGAACCTGCAGGCGACGAATCAGAGGGAGCAGGGGCCACCACACCTGACAACTCCAAGTATCTGTCGGCAGCGTCCGAATATAAGAAAGACACCCGAGCGTATGAGCACTTCGCGGGCCTCAGACTCAGTCAGTTGGGCTACACCACCTCGTTTGAATGGGTCGGTGATTGCGCGATCTCTCGCCTCGCCTCGGATCTGCAATCCGGGAACTTCCGGGCGCCGCCTGCCACATCCAGCCGCGCGTTGCTTCTCCGCTGCTGCAGCTGCCTCCGAGTTAAGCTGCTCTCCTCTCTACCGAAGCAGCCTGGTGAGCGTTTTCATATTCGGCGTTTCGACGTTGGGCGGAAGGGATGGGCAGGGGGGGGGTCTGGCTCCGGACCTCTGCTTTAGCGCCTGTTTGCAACAATGCGTCCCATGGGGGAGCCTCCACCTTCTCGAAACACGGGCGCCAAAAATCAGCCAACCCTGAGATCCGCCATTGCAAAAAAAATTGCAACATCACAAAAAATTACGACCGGAGCCCCAGACTCATTTTTCTGCGTCATTTTTCGAGCCGGATCGATCTGTGAAGGCCCCGGGGCCCGAAATGGAGCGAAAACGCCCGTCGTGAAAAAGTTGCAACGCCAGGATCTCAGGGAAGATCTACTCCATGGGGGGGGGTGGGGGGGTGCGAGGGCCCGCGCCGATGGGCAAAACCATGAGTCACAAAAACGATCGCCTGACGGCGTGCTGGGCATGGCCGGCGCGCAGCGTGGCGAGAAAAAGAGGGCCTCAGGCGCTCGACGGGGCGGCTGGCAAGACGCGGCGGCGGGCGTGCAACAGTCACAGAGAAGATTGAGATTGAGATCCCCATTGCGAAGCAAGTCTGGGTATCGCTTAGAGCTGATCCCCTGGCCGCTGCCTCTGTGGAACAGCCTTACCTTGTGTCTTGGGGGGGAGCCCCTCAGCTAAGCGACGGAGGTACGTACGGCCTGTACGAATGGGATGGATCGAACAGGGTTCGCCCAAAGCTCACACCTGCTGATCGGCAATGGCCCCACACGAGCCGCAGAACCACACTTTCACTGGAGAATGGTAATTAAGGAGATGGGACGGATGCAGCCAGCCCCCCGCTACATGGATACGCATCCCTTGGGCTGGGGCGTAAAGGGTCCCGTCAACATTGACGGAGGAGGAGGAGGGAGGGGAGGGGGAGGAGGAGGGGGAGGAGGAGGAGGAGGAGGAGGAGGAGAGGAGGAGGAGGAGGAGGAGGAGGAGGAGGAGGAGGAGGAGGAGGAGGAGGAGAGGGGAGGATGAGGAGGAGGAGAGATTCTGGCATCCCGAGGCTGCGTGCGCGCTCTGTGCGCGAGCACCCAGTGCTGCCTGGCCGCTCGCTGCTCCCTGGTCGTCCTGGCGAGCTTCTGGCGCCACAGGCACTCGCAGGTCGGAAGCTGGACGCACAGCAACATACTGGTACTCTGTGTGTACTCCTGGGAGGCGCGCGTCCGACCCGAACAGATAGTGGACCCATCTTGCAGTGTATCGTTTCCTGAGCGCTGCGGCCAGGAAGCGCCCGCCGCGACACATTCAGTATAAGTATGCTGGGGTGGCGCCGGTGATCGTCCTGAAGCGCTGCTGGCGCCTCAGGCACTTGCAGGTCGGCAGAGCTACAGTTGTTCCTCTGCGCGCGCAGGGAGCGCGCAGGGTCGGCGACAGGCTCGGGGCATCCGGCCCCGTGAAGTATCTGGAGTGTCTCCTCTGCGACGGCGGCGAGCGCACAGCGGATGCCCATGCCGAGAAACTGCCTGCTTGCCTCCAGGGTGCCCTGGGTGCCCTGGGTTTCGACGGTTCTGCAGTGGAAAGCGTCGCGCTCCCACACCAAACATCAATGGACGTCCTGGGGTCTCAGGGTTGGGCTTCTCGTGGAAAGTTTCTTGTGGACTGGCCCCCACTGTAAGGCATGATGAGCAACACGGGCCTGCAGGGCAGCTTTGGGGGAGGCCTTCCAGCGAGTGACAGCGCCCAGGACGACCTCCCCCCAAGGTCTAAGGTCTTCTGAAGCCTGGGGGGATTTTCGAAACCAAAAGTGATGATGGCGTAATTAACCAGTCGACATCATCCAGCACATGATGTGTCCAGGACGCTGTGCAATGCGCTGCGCAATGCCCCATTAGCGCCATGAGGTGTACTGAGCCGATGTGTAGACGTCGTCCAGATAACCTGAAACGGTGTATTCTCAAAGTGGCACTGCGGCACTGCTTCTCGACCATGGCCAGGACCTGCGCAGATGTTAAAGCTGTCTTATCCCTGCGCGGGCACTGCGATATTGCTCTGGATATGTCCACGACGACGTCGCCTAACTGCGCATGCTGTGCCGGAGTGGACGTGGGCCATGTGCCTGCTTGGTAGAGCCTGCTAGGGTACATCAGGGAGTCGATCAATCTAAGACTGACCTTGCGTTCTAGATGCCCGCCCCGAACGGCGCTTCTCAGCTTTTTCCACTCCGAAATTGCGGCATGTCGTCTGTGAACCAAGTCTGGTCCTAGCGAGCGAGCTTCACCCAAGACAGCGCCAAGGCGCGTGTATTGTCCGACCACGACATTCCGAGGGGGTCATACAAATCGGTGACAGATCGTACAGTACCTGCCTCGTCATGCCACAAGCGAAAGTTGGCGATATCGGAACCTTTGCCGCGGAACTGGAAGACCACGGCAGATTTGCCCTTGGCAATGTGCAAGTCATCCCCCTGGACCCGAAAGCGTCGAAAATTATGCTGGCGGCACAAAACGGCACAAGCTGGAAACGCTCCTTTGGATGACCGAGAAAAATGGGCATGGCATCGTCAAAAAAGACGAGGTCCATTGAATGAGTTGTGAAAGCTCGCGGCGGTTGTTCGTTCGGGTAAATGCTAACTGATCTATCTTCGGCAACTGGCAGGCGGAGCTCAACTCCAAGCGAACGTCGAGCTACTCAGGCCTCTTGGTGACCCGTGGCATCACAACTTTGTCGATAAGGTCGTCTAGCTGTTGACCTGGTCGGGAGCCGACCTGAGGACGCGCCATGCTGTTGCCCCCATGGGACCAGGAACCACTTGGAGTGATGCGAGTCGGCAACTTGAGCATGGAACCTCCTAGGGACGCTGTAAGAGTCCAGGATGTGTCCATGCCTCTTGAGTAGGTCCTCGAACTCACCCATGGCATTGGGAGGTAGACCAACTTGGCGGAGAATATAGGCGACAGCCTCATCGGAAGCCCCTGTCTTGAAAACTACTCTCTCACAGCCTTGTAGAACGCCTGGACGGCATCGGTGGATAGAACTGGGGCCGAGGAACCAGTTGAGCAACAAAGCTGCTGAAATAGCCGGGCTTCTAGTGCAGCAGAATCCGCGCCTCCTCGAGCGACTCCTCTATACTGGCGTGGCCCTGCCAATGGAGGCAAAAAAGAAGCCACGCCTTGGCTTCTCAGGCGCTTTCCGATCTGAGAGGGATCCCAAATCGAGCGGTAGTTAAGCCTCGAAGTTGGATGTCCCTCCTTGGAGAATGGCCAATCGAAGCCCGGCGGCTTGGCGCATTTCAAGGAGCGGGAAAATAGGGCCATGGTGTAAAGGTCCTCTGGGGCAAACGCAACGCGGTCCATGAACTCCTGCGGTCAATCCTAATCCCTTGGGTAAACCACGGCAGATCCTGAAAAGGTATGGCTGGGCCTGATTCAATGCTGGCAAGATGGTGCGCCCACATGTATCGCCTCGACCACTCACTGGGCATATCTTTGGCAATATGCTGGGCATGCAGGATAGGGTCCACCTTTAGCTGCAAGTTGGCAATTGTCGTTGAGAGCTGTAAGCAAGTGTGCCGCATGGTTTGGATGATCCTGGGCGCGGCCGAAATCAACGATTGAAAATCCAAACAACTGCACCACGATATCCAATCAAAAAAACATCTAATCTCAAAACTCTGCAACTTGTCCGTCCTGGGTTTGCGGACCCTTGGAACCGTGGGGTGACCGCCGAGGTCGGAAACCAATTGGTGGACCCTGCCCAGCCCTTTGAAGCCGCCGAAATAGCATTCGCAAGGCAACCATACCAAGAGAGGGCACCAAACTCAGCGGGCGTTGCGCGCAGCGCCAAGTAAACGATTGGTGAGAGAACAGTGCTCCAACCGGGGAGGCACAAGCTCTGAATACCGCTGTTAGGAATAACATTGTACAGGCTCGGCATGTGTCGCGAAAGTGCCGGAGATTGTCGGCACGGACGTCCATGTGCGCCAGGGCCGTGGTGGACAATCCCAAACTTTGTCGAGGCCCTCTGCCCTCGTCGGTGGCTCTGGGCGGGAGGGCGGTAGCTACAGCGTGCTGGAGAGAAGTCGCAATCCCCTGGCAATGGTACTCGGCGTGGGTAGTTACGGCAGGCCGTGGAGCTCCCTTGAGCAGGTCTTGAAACTTGGCTCGCGCAAGCAGGTCCGACAAGAAAAGCTTCTTCGCACATACCGCGGGAGGAAGGAGGAGGAGGAGGAGGAGGAGGAGGAGAATGATGAGGAGGAGGAGGATAAGAGGATAGGGAGGAGGAGGAGGAGGAGGAGGAGGAGGAGAAGGCGGAGGAGGAGGAGGAAGGGGGGGGGAGCATGGGGACCCCCACTCCAGAATTTGTGAAACTTTCGACTGCACAGCAAAGCAAAACGCCCAACCCCCCAGGATATACGATTGGGGGTACATCCTCGACAGAGGTGCGTCTGAAAAAAAAACACTTGGGATGTATACCCGACTTCTCCACTCGTTTATCAACGGCCTGATTTGCTTTGGGGCGGGACTCGGCGATCGTCGTAGAAAGGCGGATTGAGACGCCGGCAACTCAAAACCGGTCCCCATACCCCTCCCCAAGTCCGAACGCACCAATTCTTCGAGCTGCGTCCAACCGTGGCGATGAGGTCCCCACCCCCCCGAAGGCCAACTGCCGGGGTGAGATGTCGCCCGAGACGAGGGAGTCCAGGAGGAGGCGACCCGCTGCGGAAACTTCAGCACGAACTTCTCGCAACCCTCGATCGGGCACGGCTCCGCGCCTGCTAGGTCCGTGAGCCAGTGCACGAAGTAGAATGAGACGTCGGCTGGACTCGCGCCACCATCTCTGATGATCTGCCTGGGACAGGGCAGCAGGAGGCAACTTCTGGGAGGCCTTCGTGAAAACGCTTAAAGGCTATGATAATGTCGGGTTGAGAAACCATCTAGGCGTGCTAGCCCAGATTCGACCCAGGACTAAACCGGATTAGGCCTGATCGAGCGGGATCGAATCGGGACCAAGCGGAACTATGCAAGATTAGGCCCGTTTTCAACTGATGCTGAATTAAGCCTCTCAGGAATTGCATCCTGAAGGGCAGGATCAGTCAGCATCCACTCGGGGAATCGGATCGAATCGTACATCAAATCGGGCCGCATCGGCACGGAGTCGGCATCGAATCCGATCACGGATCGGCCGCGACAGGATGCACAAGAAACGGCATGCGAGCATCGGACAGCATCGGCGCGTCGGAACATCGGAATCGGATCGGATCGGGCCCGCCGGAAACGATATCGAATCGGATCGGCATGGACCCTGAGGGGGGGAGCTCCAAGTTCGTCCGCGCTTCGCGCGAGACACCCTCCCCACAAACAGCGGAAGACCGTGAAGAGGGAACCAGCCGACTGGCCGGTGACCGTGCGGCGAGGCGTCACGCCGCTGCGACCGTTCAGCTTTTGGCGGCGCGCACAAGGGGTAGGGGGAGGGGAACATTTCTTAGAAGGAGGCTGCGTCTTAGAAGGCGCCGGCCCTGCGTCTATAGATGAGGCCCGCGTCTTCTAGGAAGCAGGGGTGCTTCTGCGAGGCCCTCCCTCCTCCCCCCCACCCCCCTCTGCGCGTGGCTTACGCTTGCCACATAGGTGCTGCGGGGGTGAACTCGAGTGGGCGCAGGAACTGATGCATCCTAGGAGGCCCCAGCGGTTGGAGGAGGGAGAAGGGGGAAAGACGAAGACACAGGCGAGGACTAGGAGAAGGGGAGGAGAAACGGAGGAGAAGAAAGGGTGGCGGAGGATGGAGGAGAAGGAGAGAAAGAAGCAAGGAGGAGGAGGAGGAGGAGGAGGAGGAGGAGGAGGAGGAGGAGGATGGCAGCCGCCGGGAGCGGGCACGAAACTGGGGCGACGGGCGGCCGACGACCTCTTTTCCTCCGCCTTCACCCTCCACTCCTCTCCTGGGCTCAGTCAGCTTCGAATCTGGAAGCCGAATCCACTCGACTCGAAATGAGCGTCGGGTCGCGCTGCATCGGCACAGAGTCAGAACCGAATCGGATCTGCTTCGCGCGGATGCACAACAGCGCAATGCTAACACAAGAGGCCTCAGATCGTCGGAATCCGCCACCGTACCTGCGAGGCACGAGTTGGAGTGTCCTCAGATGCCTTGCTAAATCCCTTGAGCCTGAGTCCCCAATCCTCGGGATCTTCAGAGGGTCTGGACCCAAGAATCTCAAATCTCCCAGGGCTCCCGGCGCGGCCAGGGCGTCTTCCCGCACGACTTCTTCAAGCCCCAAAAGGGCCCAAAGGCGGGCCAAGAGGGCCCCAAGAGGCTACTCAGACGGTCCAAGAGGGCCTCGAGTCGCGGAACGATCGGCCCAAGCCACGGAAAAGCGGGATGGGCCGAAGGCCACCAAATATCGGAATCGAATCAGATCGAGCCAACCGGAAACTGCATCGAATCGGTCTCGAATCGGATCGGAATGGGCCCCATCTCCCTCCTGCACGCTGACTCCTGGCTCCTGCCCCGCCTCCTCTGCCCCCTCCCCCTCCCCGGCCCCCCCCCCCGCTGCCCTCCATGCCCCTCCTGGCCTGCTCCCGCCGCTGCAGATCACTGCAGGGCCTGCTCCCGCTGCTGATCCTCCTCTCGGGGCCTGGCGAGAGGGTCGGGGGCACGCAAACATGGACTAGCGATCCATGGACTAGCGATCCATAGATCGGGGGAGGTGCCCTCCCCAAAATGCGGCCTGTGCCGACTCGTTCGGCGGCGAAAACCCGCGATCTCCCATGGAAGCGGGACCCGTCGCTAATCCACGCCCCCTTGATCCATGCTTGCGATCGCCTGAGAGGGGGAGGAAAACAAAGTGGAGCTCAGCGAGTCCGCCTGGGTAGCTGCTTTTCCCGGGGTTCTCCCAGCCCTTCCGGGCGCCAGCGGTCTCGAGGAAAGCGCCAGGGCGGTGGGGCCGAGACCAGCTGCACGCCGCAGAGTCTGCCCCCCCCCCCCCCCCCCTCCTTCGCCTACCCCACCCCGTCCGTGCGACCCGATCCTCCACTCTTTCTCCTCCTCCACTTCAAGCTCCTCCTCTTCCCCCTCGTGCCTCCACGCCACCTACTCTTGCTCGCGATCCTCTTGCCACTGCTCCAAATACTGCCCCTCCTCGTCTTCCCCAGTGCCCCTTGTCCTCCGCCTCCTCATCCTCCTCGAACTCCTCCTCCTCCTCCTCCTCCTCCTCCTCCTCCTCCTCCTCATCATCATCATCATCATCATCATCATCATCATCATCAGCATCAGCATCAGCATCAGCATCAGCATCAGCATCAGCATCAGCATCAGCATCAGCATCAGCGTCATTCGCATCATCATATCATCATCATCATCATCATCATCATCAGCATCATCATCATCATCATCATCATCATCATCATCATCATCATCATCATCATCATCATCATCATCATCATGATTACCATAATAAGCATCATCATCAGCAGCAGCAGCATCATCATCATCAGCGTATTCATCATCATAATCATCATCAGCAGCATCATCAGTATCATCATCAGCATCATCATCCGCATCATCACATGTATCATCTTGCTGCCCCCATCTCGTCATCCTTCTCCTCCCTCCGCCTGCTTCTCCTTCTCCTCCTCGTGCCTCCTCTGCGCCCTCCCTCCTCTTCTCCCCCTTCCACCTCCCCCTCCTCCTCCTCCTCCTCCTCCTCCTCCTCCTCCTCCTCCTCCTCCCCCTCCTCCTCCTCCTCCTCCTCCTCCTCCTCCTCATCCTCCGTTTCCTCCTCCCTTTCCTCAGCCTCCTCCACTTTGCCCTCTTCCTCCCCTCCGCCTGCTCCTGGGGCCCTGCAATCCTGTGCCCCGGGGCGGGGGGAGAGGCCGAGGGTCCCGGCGGGGCCCACGCCGTGAGCGAAGTAACACAAAGGCGCCGGAGGTCTGTGGGATCCTCTCTCCGCTGCGCTCGCTGTGCGCCAGGCACTGGGCTTCAGCGGACGAAGCCCTGAGGGGGCGTGCACACTCTCCTGGCACGAGCAACGAGCACGCGCTGATGGAGCCAGCGTGGACAGCTTCTGGCACGCAACAACTTGCAGGTCGTTCCTCTTCGCTCGTAAACGGAGCCACCGTGAAGCAAAACTTGTCATAGTTTCGTCCTCCCCAGTACTCCCATGTGGTGTCTCTTGCATACAACCGTTCGTGGCCGCCACACCTACCGACCTCATGTTGGACAAGCTTCTCATCCTGGATCGCGTGTTGGTCCTAGATCCCGAGAGCGGCATACAGATGCAGGAAGTGTCAAACAACACGTCATGATGCAAGGACGTGGAGAGGTCGGGGTACAGCCGAGCTGGCACCCTATGTAAGGAACACTACATCAGGAACGAAGTCCCTTTTGGACCCCACCAGCGCCCGGGCGCAAGGAGCGACAGCGGAACAGGCACGACAAGACCCAAGGAGCAGCGCGCCCCTTCCGAACCCGAACTGGTCCTTCCTTCGTCGGCTGGACTGCAACTCTGTCTCCATACGCGTCCTTGATGGGGCACGCTGGGCGCCAGGGGAGGACCGGCTCAGCACGGGGGGGGAGGGGGGACATCGACCCAGATGCGGCAATGCATCGCCGATAGATCGGCAGTAGGCCCCCAGGATGAGGTCGGGCACGTCCCCCTACAGGCGGACTTTGGACGAAAAAATGAAAAATAGTGAAGCAATATCGGAAAGTTAGCAGAAGTAGTCTAAAAATCGTCCCCAGACTAATTTCTATCTACTTTTGAATACTATTCCTCCTGTAGAGGGACAGGCCCGACTTAAACCCCAGGAGCACATCCGCCGCTTCCTGGGCGGCGTGGGCCATCGGCCCCAAGCGGCGATGAACCGAAATGAGCGATTGGGGGTCGGTGCAGTCTCCCCTCTCAGACTATCACCCCCTCATGTTGCCCCCGAGTCCTCGCCCCCTCCCCAAGGCTCTCGTGGATCGCGGGCCCGCCCCCCAAGAGCGCACGGCCCGGCCCGGCACCGCAAAGGCGCGGGCCTGAACTTGCCGAACAGGGGGCCCGGCGGGGCCTCAGCCTGGACCTCAGGAAGCAAGCGCGGCGGACGCTGGCCGACCCAACGCACAGCCGTTCTGCAGAGTAAGAAGCCAGGATCAGCCAGCATCGAATCGGGGAATCGGATCGAATCGGAGTTTGTGTCGGATCGGGCTGCATCGGCACGAGGTCGGAATTGAAGCGGATTGGCCGCGCCAGGATGCACACCGGAGCCACGCACGCGTCGGGCCGCTTCGGATCGTCGGAACCTGGGTATCGAGTCTGAGCGGGCCGGGCCAGAATCGACATCGACCCCGATAGACCGGATCGAAGTGCACCCTGCCGTTCTGCAGGTCAGGAAGCGGTGGCAATCCCGTCCACGCGCGCCCCGCCCAACCGGACGCCCGGAGTCGGGACTCCTGCACCTCGGCGGCCCACGCAGACTTCGACCATCTTCCCCGGGGCTGGCCTGGCACCCGCTGCCGTTCCTGGACGGCCCTGGGGCCCCGCGTAAGGCCCCCAGAGGCCGAGCAACGGCCACGACAGGTCCGTCTGGGTACACCGCGAGCCGCTCGCGGGGGGGCAGCAGCAGTACCAATGACACGCCGCCGTGGGGAAGCCATCAGCATGCAGCATGCCACTGTTGCAGAAACGCACCGCGTGTTCGCACACGCCGATGGCGGCGTAACCCGATGGCGGGTTCCGACCGGCGGCCCCTCATTCACACTCCCGAGGTCTGGGCCCCCCGTGCAGAAGGACGCGCCTGCGCGAGCAGCCGAGCCAGGCGACGACCCTCTGCCGAAAGGCCACTGCACCAACCTTACGGACGTGCTGCAGCGGATTTTTGCGTGGATTTCTGCTTCTGCAGAACCCCGCAAGGGCGAGCGACAAGCGAAGTTAATTTCACGTGGATTTGTTGTAGTCTTCATCTCTGGCCGACAGAAATCCGCCCGAAGTTCCATTCGAAATCCGGAGTGACATTTTCCAGGACAATCCGGGCCCATCTTAACAAACGAAATCCGTTCTGCGATGTTGGGGCCATAGGAGCGGGGGTGGGAGGGAACCCTCTTCCAGATCGAAGGCTAAGCGGCGGCAGCGCGAGCGGCGCGCGTTCGGCCCGCGCCCTCTCTACCCAGATTTCCGACGATCAGACTGTTTCAAAACACTAATTTCGGCCCATGGGACCTGCTTTCGGGCCCTGGGGCCATGAACACATGGATCCGGGCCGACAGACAATCCCCGCCCCGCACAGGGGAGCAGGTCAGATGAGAGGACGTTGAGAAGAGCAGGCGTAGTGGCTGCTTGTTTCTGATGACTGGCGATCGCATCCACGAGATCGTGCGATAGTGCGGAAATGCCCTCTATGAGTACGCGCAAACTGGTCAGCATAAAAACGGGTACCAAACTTGAGCGATCAATTTGAGAATCCGGAACTTAGCGAGCGGCTCATGCTGACTGGTTGGCGCAGCCTATAAACAAGGACGAGCGTTCCAAGGTGGAGAGCCCCCGCATCGAAGGACAGAACGGTACCTGGATCACCACAGGTGTGGCTGAGGGGGTAGTAGGGTTATGAGTGGTTACCACCTCGGATGATATTTTGCCCAAGCTACTGTCGGGGGCGGCCAAGAGGGGGGCGTCCACGAGGAGGGGGGGGGGGGGGGGGGGGGGGGGGGGGGGGGGGGGGGGGGCAAATCATGGCCGGCGGCACGTGCGCGGCCCAGGGGGGGGGGGGGGGGGGGCGTGGACGTCATGAAAAAAGAAGTGGCGCCATGAAAATTGCGGAAATATCATGACCCGCGCCATGATATCCCCCCCCTCATAATCACCCCCCTCTCTGCCGCCCCCGATACTGTGCCGTGGTAGTAGGCGACACATCTTTTGACCAGCTGGCGCGGCGTGGACCATGAGGTGCCCCCATCGGCGCACGGAGCCTGGCACAGTGTCACGGGAGCGGAGCTATGGCAGCGGGGCGGGCCACCTCGGGCTTGTGCCTCCTACTAAGACGACTGCGGACCAGACTCCTATGCGGATTCCTACGTGAACACCTACGCGGATCCCAATGCGAAGCCGGTCCCAACAATAGAAACATGGGCGTCTCGTGAGGGACGTCTTCTCAAAATACATTCGAACCAGGTTCGAACTGGGTTCCAAAAACAAAAAACGTTTCGTGCGGGACTTCCTCGAAAAGCAAGCACGAACCAGGCTCGGACCTGCTTCGAAACAATAGCAAAGTGAGCGTTTCGTGCGGGACTCCATCGCAGAGGAAGTTCGAGCCAAGTTCGAACTTGGTTCGAAGCAGTGGCAAAGTGAGCGTTTCATCTGGGGTGGTCCTGTGTTTGTCTGCATCTTTCGAAATTCTACAGAATCGTGCCGAAAAGCGCCACAGTGGCAAACTTTGGCGACAGTTTGAACACGCCCGTGGGCACTATCAAACCGCCACCTTGGCAATACCAGACGTACCTTGAGAAGACAAACTTGCTCAAGTTCCTGAAGGGAGCTTCGATAGCCATGCCTAACGATGCTGAATTGAGAAGCTTCCGGCAGGACCGTGTGACAACTGTTCGAAACTTGGCACACACAGCAGGTGTCCTTGTCGCCCCTGATGGTGGCAAAACGCGTGCGGACGTGAAGAAGAAAAAGCGTGGCGCGGTCTCCACGCATGGCTGAACGGGCCCGGACCCTGGCCCACGAACTGCACAACAAGAACACGAACATTTCCACTGGCAGTATGTGGCTTTTCTCTTGGCACGATCAGACCGCACGTTCAGCAAACAGATTGGTTCAAATTGCTGAATTGAGTTTTGGCAGCCATGCCTCATGATGTTGACTTGAGAACCTTCCGGCATATTCATGTGAAATGGTTTCAAAGCTTGGCAAACACAGCCGGTGCCATTGTCGTGCCTGATGGTGGAAACACGTGCGCGCGGACGTGAAGATGAAGAAGAAGCGCGGCGAGGCCTCCACAGAAGGCTGAGCGCGCCCGAACCCTGGCCGACGAACTGCACAAAGAACACAAACATGTCCATTGTGCCGTGATAGCAAATCGCTCAATGTTTGACAGGCTGGCGCAGCATGGCCCGGAGATGCCCCGTTCGGCGAGCAGAGCCTGGCACAATGTGACGGGAGCGGGGCTGTGCCAGCGGTGGGCGAGCAACCTCGGGTTTGTACCCTCTCTTGATTTTTTATCAGGCTAAACAAGATAATGGGTCGAACACGGCGAGCCGCGTCGAACTTCCTCAAAGAAAGGTTCGAAACAAGTTAGACAGTTAGTTCCAAGCAGTGGACGGCGGTCCGCAACAATAGAAAAATGGGCGTCTCGTGCGGGATCTCCTCAAAAAAAGGGTCGAAGCAGGTAGAACTCGGTTGCTAACAACAGAAAAGTAATCATTTCGTGCGGGGAATCATCGAACAACAATTTCGAACCAGGTTCAAGCTCGGTTCGAGCAATATGAAAGTCAGCATTTCGTGCGGGACTTGACTTCCCTGCAGAGCAAGTCCGAACCAGGTTCGGACCTGCTTCGAAACAATAGCAAAGTGAGCGTTTCTCGCGGGACTTCCTTGTAAACCAGGTTCGAACCAGGTTCGAACTTGGTTCGAAACAATAACAATGTGAGCGTTTCGTCCGGGATGGTCTTGTGCTCGTCTGCATCTTTCGAAATTCCACTGCATCGTGCTTAAAAGAACCGCAGTGGCAAATTTGGCGAAACTTTCATCACGCCCATGTCGCGCAGAAGTGGGCTCAAAATGTCTCACGTGTCGTTGAGGGGCCCGATCTTGACCAGGTGTAAGCTATAGGATGTAGGTCGATGGGTATAGGGTAAGCCTTGCCCGATAGAAACCACCTTCGGACCCCGCTATCCCTCTTGGCACACCCCGCGGTGATGCAATGACCTTCAAGCGTTCCAGAGAAGCTTCCTGGCAAGTACCTTCGGGCGCCTTAGGGAAGTGTCCTGGCAAACACCTCGGGGCGCCTCAGAGAGGCGTCCTGCAAAGTACCCCCGGGCGCCTTAGGGAAGCGTCTGGCAGGCACCTTCTGGAGCCCGTCAAGTACCCCTCTGGCGCAAGGGTTGTTCTCAGCCCTCGCAGCGCAGCTGTAGAAACGCCCTCGCGCAGGAGCCCGGCCAAGACGGCAACTCTCGACTGATAGGCATGGAGGCCGGCGTGCCACCCGCTCGGCCAGGTCCACCTCGGAGCATCGAGCCTAGGAGCTCCAGCGCATTGAGAAAGCACGGCTGTCCTTCGCCGTTGCCAGCCCCGCGGGAACCTCGCCGGGCCCCAGGACCGCCAACACTCGACTCAGGATGAAAAGTCGTCCTCAAAGAAAGGGCCGGGACATCTGGGGACATCGTCCAGTGTCGGCGTCGGATAAGGAAACCATTGGATAAGGACTTTAGGGTCTGCAAGCGAGTGGATACTCTGATCGTGGATTGGCCATGGATATCACCTCCGCCCGCATTGGGTAAGGAATCCTCCAGGGTCTGAAGCCTCCTGGGCACATCCCTGAACGAACCACCCCATCGCATTGGAAAAATCAAGACGGCGGATCTCTGTAGGATTCGGCAATCCCGAATTGTGTCGCTCCGACGCCGACCTGGCTCTAATCGCAGAGTTCTGCCCCCGCTCCTCGAGGTTCTAGGAGGTCGATGCTTGGACACATCTGTTTGCTACGGTTTGAAGTATTGGGGCATTTCTCGAGTAGGAGGTCGACTACAGAATTGTTTTACCCCGAAATTCAAGCTTTCGCCGAATCGGCGAAAAAATGTAGACTGTTCGTAGGTCTGCGCGAATGCTGTGTGCGCTTTCCGTGGATTCAGCAAAACAGATTCCAAGGATCTCTGGCCTGGAGCATTCAGAGTTCTCCAGGGGTCTGATAAGCCAAAGAACACTCCAGATGTTTGCTCCCCACCTCCTAAACGGGAGTTCTGGTTTTCTCTGGACACCCACCGCAGGAACACACCCACCCACACGCACCCACACACATCATCACCACCATCCTCACCACCATCATCATCACCATCACCACCATCATCATCATCATCATCATCATCATCATCATCATCATCATCATCATCATCATCAGCTTCACCATCATCATCATCATCCTCATCATCATCCTCATCATCATCATCGTCACCATCAGCATCATCATCATCATCGGCATCGTAATTGTCATCATCGTCGTCGTCAACGTCGTCGTCATCATCATAACCAGCATCGGCAGCATCATCGTCATACTCATCATCTTCTTCATCTACATCACCACCACCACCACCACCACCCTCGCCATCACCGTCATCATCAAAATAACCATCATCATCACCACTACCACCATTCCGTCATGATCGTCAAGAACAAATTCATCATCGTTATCATCATCTCGCGCACTCACACGCTCACTCACTCACCCTCACTCACACTCACACGCTCGTAGTGAAGAAGGCTCGAGCGGGAGCTTCGTGTGTGAGTGAATCGCGAGGTCATCTCGAGCGGGAGACCCCCTTCGTATGGGGCCCGCGCATCATATTGGCAATCCAGGCTGGCGATCGGAACCCTGCAACCGTCGTCACTTCTGGCTTCCTCAGACCTGAACTTGCAGGAGCGAAGCCCCGTGTGTGAGAGAATCGCGAGGAAGTCTCGAGCGGGAGCCCATCCCTACGGGGTCCACACCTCATGTTGGTACTCCGAGCGGGGCATCGCAACCACGTGACCGTCGTCACTTCTGCGCTCCAGAGGTCTAAGTATTCAGGAAGTCTTGAGCGGGAGCCTCGCCTGTGTGAATCGCGAGGAGATCTTGAGCGGGAGCCCCCGCCTCACGGGGCCCGCCCGCAGCTCAGTTTGGCAACTCGAGCGGGTCATCAGAAGCACGCAGCTGTCGGCTCCTTTGGGCTCCTCCGGCATGCATACGGAGGAAGCCTTGAGCAGGAGCCTCGTCTGTGAGTGAATCGCGAGGAAGACCAGGGTCGAGCAGGAGCCCCCTCCCCTGTTGGGCCCGCGCTTCATGTCGGCAGTCCGAGCGGGTCCTCGGAACGACGTGGAGCCTCGAGCGGGAACCATGTCAGCGAGTGAACCGCGTGGACCGATGGAGCGGAAACCCCTTCCCTGCAGGGCCCGCACTTCCTTTTGGTAACCCGGGCGGGCCATCGGAACCAGTTAATTGTCTTCACTTTTGGGCCCACGCTTCATGTCGGCAATCAGGGCGGGTCATCGGAACCACGTGACCGTCGTCACTTTTGGGCTCTTCGGGCTTGAAGATGGAAGAAGTCGTGAGCGGGAGCCTCGTGTGTGTGGGAATCGCGAGGAAGTCTCGAGCGGACGCCTCCTCCGCAAGAGGGCCCGCAATGCATGTTGGCAATCAGAGCGGGTCATCTGAAACACGTACCTATCGTCCCTTTGGGGCTCCACAAGCATGAATATTCAGGAAAGCTCAACCGGGAGCCTCGTCTGTGAGTGATTCACGAGGAGGTCTCGACCAGGAGTCAGACGTCGACAGGAAGCCCTTAGAGGCTTCAGGAAGCAACAAGGAGCTCCAGGAGGCCCCAGGAGGCATTTGAAACACCAGGAGACAGCGGAGCCACCGGAGCGTTACAAGAACGCTCCAGGAGGTCACAGGAGGCCCCGGGAGGTCCCGGAAGGCTCCAGGAGGAGAAAGGAGGCCCAGGGAGAAGGCAGGAACAGGAGTCTGGAGAAGGAGGAGGAGGAGGAGGAGGAGGCAGGATGATGAGGAGGAGAGTAAAGCGGAGGAAGGGGCAGGAGCAGGAACTGGAGAAGGATGAGGATGAGGATGAGGATGAGGATGACGATGATAATGAGGAAGAGGAGGAGGAGGAAGAGGAGGAGGGAGGAGGCGGAGGCAGGAGGAGAAATACGAGGAGGAGGAGGAGGAGGAGGAGGAGGAGGAGGAGGAGGAGTAGGAGCAGGAGTACCCCAAGAGGCCTCTGAAGGCCCCAGCAGACTTCAGGAGCCCTCAGAGGGTCCAGGAGGCAACGGGAGGCCCCAGGAGGAAACAGGAGGCCCAAGGATCATGCAGGATGAGGAGGCAGGACGAGGTGGGGGAGGAGGAGCAGGAGGAGGAGGAGGAGGAGGGACAGGATGAGAAGGAGGAGTAAGAGTGGCCCAGGAGGCTCCAGCAGGTCCCAGGAGGAGGCAGGAGAACCAAGGAGGAGAAGGCTGGAGGAGCAGGAGGAGGAGGAGCAGGGTGAGGAGGTGGAGAAGGAGGAGGTATGGGGATGAGGACATGGAGAAATAGGAGGAGGAGGCAGGAGGTAGAACGAGGAGGCAGGAGGACGAGGCATGAGGAGGGGGATACAGAAAGATCAGGAGGAGGCAGGAGGCAGGAGGAGGAGTAGGAGGAGGAGGAGGAGGAGGAGGAGGAGGAGGAGGAGGAGGAGGAGGAGGGGGAGGAGAGGCAGGAGGATAAGACAGGGAGGGTAGCAGGCAGGAGGAGGAGGAGGAGGAGGAGGAGGCAAGAAGATGTCCGAGGCAATCTAAACATATTCTGATGTGGGGTCCTACCGTCGGTATAAGTTGTTAGATAACGTGTAACAACCCGAAGACAGCCTGGGCGAAACGTAAGACAACCATGTAGATCCTACGGAACTTTGATTGAGACATCCTCGAGATCGACGGGATGAATTACATGATGCGCAGGAAACACTTTCGGAGGTCTGGGCGGATTTCTCGGGCCCCTGCTGGACCCCTCCACTGGCTCGAGAAGCGCGCCAGGGGCGACGCTGGAGGCTCCGCCAGGGGGTGTCGAGCGCCGAGCGCCGCCAAGGGGGGGGAGAGCGCCCACGCCAGGAATCCGCGCGGACCGCCGCCGAGAATGTGTGTGTGTGTGTGTATGCTGCTGAGTCTTGGACAACGAATGCCAGTATGTCACTACTTCCCGGCGAGCCCAAAATCTCCCCTCGGGCGCATTCTGACCAGGGCTTCGCAGAGAGTCCCGCCGAGGCGACGAGGACCGGGCAGCTGCCCAGCGATCCGACAAACATGTCACTCCATGCGCGGCACCGCAAATCCCGACCCCTTCCCCAGGGGGAGTCGCTTCAAGCAGGGACCGACCGTCTCGGCATTCCTATAGTCCTAGCACGAAGTGTTCTTAGAACCCAAACATGTTCCAATAACAAACACAGTGTTCTCAGAACGTGAACCAGATGTGTCAAAACAAGACAGTCTCAGAAATGGTATAAGAACATTTCGTGGAAACCACAAAAGGTTCATGGAACATTGTTTGGTAGGCCTATAGGCACGCCAGGACGCTTCGCCACTGCTTGATTGCTGTTTACCCTCGGACCCATGTTTGATGGCCCCTGGGCTCGGTGACCGGCCGCGAAAGCCCAAGTCGAGGACAAGCGCCCGGACCGAAAAAGACATCGCGTCGGAGGCCTCGGTGCATGGGTGCCCTCCTCCTCCTCCTCCTCCTCCTCCTCTGAAATACACGGCCCTCCACGGCGTGGACCATCCAGCTCAGGGGGGGGGCCCAGCTCAGGGGGGGGGGACACATCGAGCTCGAATCAGCGATGCATCGTCGATGGATCGGCGATATGCCACCGATTGCGAATCCGAGCTTTCCTGGGCAGGGTGGGCAGGGCAGGCCCCTTCTCGGCAACCGAGGGGCGATGGGGGGTCGATGCATCCAACCCCGTGCCTATCTCCCCGCGGTCGTTGCCTCCCGGTTTTCGGTCACAGCTCGGCTCTCCTGCGACCGCTCGGGACGACCCGGGCACCCCGGGCGCGCCCTCGGCGAGGCGCAGCTGTTGGAGAGCACCCTGAGGCTGGAAAGCCGCCGAGAACCGACGAAACGCCCGAAACGTTGCTCCTGGCTCTGGGGCCCAGACCAGCCAGCCCATGTTGTACTCCATGCTGCACTGCGTGAACTTCACAGGGGCTTGCTGCGGGGGCCCCGGGCGCGCTCCCCCCGGCTGGAGGGAAGGAGGGCGGGAGCGCGGCCTGCAGCGGCTCCCTCCTTCCCCTCCGCCTCCGCCTCCGCCTCCGCCTCCGCCTCCGCCTCCGCCTCCTCCTCCTCCTCCTCCTCCTCCTCCTCCTCCTCCTCCTCCTCCTCCTCCCTCCTCCTCCTCTTCTCTCTCCTGCTCCCTCCTCCTCTCCTCCTCCTGCTCCTCCTCCTCCTCCTCCCTCCTCCTCCTCCTCCTCCTCCTCCTCCTCCTCCTCCTCCTATCCCCCTCCTCGCCAAGGAGCCCATCCCTCCAGGCGAGGAGGAGGAGGAGGATGAGGCGGCGGCAGGAGTCAGGAGGTAGAAAGGGGGCGGCGGCGGGCCGATGAGGAAAAGGAGGATGATCGAGGAGGATCGAGGTAGACTATGGACGAGGAGGATCGAGGGAATTCATGGAGGATGGAGGAGGAGGAGGAGGAGGAGGAGGAGGAGGAGGAGGATCGAGGTAGAACGCGGAGGAAGATAATCGAGGTAGATCGTGGAGGAGGAGGAGGTTCGAGGGAGATCGTGGAGGAGGAGGAGGGTCGAGGTAGATCGTGGAGGAGGAGGAGGAGGATCAAGGTAGATCAGGGAGGAGGAGGAGGAGGAGGAGGAGGAGGAGGAGGAGGAGGAGGAGCATCGAGGAATGGATCATGGAGGAGGTGGATCGAGGTAGATCGTGGAGGTGGAGGAGGAGGAGGAGGAGGAGGAGGAGATTCATCGAGGAATGTCGAGGGGGCCCGCCGTCGGCACGCGGGCTGAGAGAGGGCCCGAGGAGGATCGGGGACCAGCGTGAGGAAGGCAGGTCACGGGGGGAACATGCAGGAGGGACGCAGACGCAGGCGCAGGCGCAGACGCGCGAGTCCGCCGGACGGCGGGCCGGCAGGCCCCTTAGGTTCGGCGCGGGCGGACGGGCAGGAGGGAGCAACAGTGGGGAGAGAAGGAGCGTCTGGGAACTGGTTGGCCATGCCCGACGGGGCCGAGCTGCACCCAACGGCGCGGCAACACCCCAGGCCAGGCACAAAAGCCTCTGACCTGACGCACACCCGCACCAATTATAGGCCGGAAGACCCGTGCGTGGAGAGGAAGGAGGAGGAGGAGTGTGGGGGGAACGATAGGAAGGACTGGTCAAGGGGGAAACATCGACATGTGATCTGCGAGGAATTGCCGATAGATCGGCGATAGGCCCCCCGATAACGAAACCGCGCGAGTCCTGGGCGGGGTGGGCTGTCAGGACCCTATCGGCGATGAAGGGGCTGTTGGGTGCCGACGCGTTCTTCCCTGAGCCCATCGCCCCCGAGCGCTGCCCCTGATGCATCCACGAGTCGGGAGATGGCAGGAATGGGTTCAGTGGGGCCTGATTTCATGATGTGTACCAGGGGGCGCTCCCCCGCCCCATTCCAGTAACCGGCGCTGCCGCCACCCGAAGAAACAGCAACTACGGCAAACCTTGATTAGAGATTCTGGTTCGTGTTGTGAACATCTCCAGAGTCCGATCACTAACAGGCTTCCCCAGAGGAACAAACAAGTGCGACGGTCATCGCGGGTTTCTCCGCGCGGAGCTCGAAAGTTGATGTTGATGTGCCTTTTCTCTCTCCCTCGTCTTCGGCTGACCCCTCGGACCCTCGCCATATCCGAACGGGGCCCGCCCAAAGTCGTGAATGCACACCCGGCTTGCTGCCGCGGCGCGCGGGGGCAGCAGCCCAGCTCGGCCGTCGCCCGCGGACGCGCGGCGGGGTGTAACGATCGAGCCACTCAGTTCATGGTAGTGATAGAATCTGGGAATGAGAATTCTGTTGCCCCCATCCTTCTTAAGGACCACATCCCAGAAATAATTTCGAGCACCCAGAACAGTGTCGAAACAGTATCGAACGAGTGTCGCCTCCCAAGACCCGACACGTGAAAGCCCGCATGTTTCGGTACTTTCAGCGTGCTCGCAACTCTTTTTGGTGGTCAAGGCCAAAATGGGTTGGAACATCATAAATTTAGAGAAACGGCCCCGGATCTAGAAAATACGCTTTTGAATCTAAGAAGCCGGCGGCTGCGTTTACAGAGTGACGATTTGTCCTGTTTGGATTCGGCGGCGCAATGTAGTAAATCCGCTTCTCGCTTTAATGACCCATCGTTTCCTCAATCATTTTTTTGAGAACGCGCCTTCGCTCATTACCATGACCTATGTTCGCCAGCGGTGTACGGGGAAGCGGGAAGCGGCCCGTGGGCACACGGAGCAGGGGGGGGGGGGGGCGCAGAAGGGCGAAAGCCCAGGGCACGGCGGCCGGGTGGTGGTGGCGGGCCCAGGAGGAGAGAGGGGGGGAGAAGGAGGGGGGAGGGCGGGAGGGAGGCAGGAAGGGAGAGAGGGATGGATCGAGGGGGGGGAGGAAGAGGAGGAGGAGGAGGAGGAGGAGGAGGAGGAGGAGGAGAAGGAGGAGGAGGAGGAGGAGGAGGAAGAGGAGGGGCACGAGTGCGGGTACCCTGGGGGACGCGGGTCTGTTCCGCTGCGCGCCACCGAGCATAAGGACGGGCAGCGGCGAGAGAATCCCTCCATGCCCACCAACCCCAACCCATCCGTCCCGTTATCGAGTTAGCGCTGCACCAGGGCGTGGGCAGCTGCCAGCGCCGCGGCATCAGAGACACGGGAGCGGTCAGTGGCCGAGCGCGGCTTTTTGTAAATGTGGAAGGCCAGTGTGATCCTGCGTACCGTCTCGCGAAGCGAGAGGTCGCTAGGAGCCGGAGGATATGCAGCGGAAGGGCCCAGGCCCCAGTGGGTTAAACTGTTGAGAAGGGGAGGCTAGTCATGGGGACCAAAGGAGGCTCAGGAGGCGAGGACAGACGAGGTAGTGGGGAAATGAGTCAGGCTGGTCCTGGCAGCCAAAAAGGCAGCCTCGAGGTACCAGCACGTGCATGCGGCACGAAATTGTCCAACCCGCTGCCAGCATCTTGAAAGTAGCCCCGGCGCCAGCTGGGTTTCATCGATCCGAATACATCAGCGAGCGCCTTCCAACGCTCCTCCAGAATGTCGGGAGCTAGAGGAAAGCCCAACGAGGCCACACGTTTCTCGAGCGTGACCAGAAACGGGGATGCGAAGGCAGACTGGCGAAGCGAGGCTGCGAACGCGCGCTGAAAATGAGCGCGGCGTGGCGGGTCTGCGTTTCGGGCAGCGTGCATTTCTTCCTGCGCGGCAGCCTGGGCATCACGCATCATCGTCGGCGTAAAAGCGGAGGTGCGCGATGCGGAGCGGAGCTGTTCATAGTATTGCACGATCGCCTGCGGCTGGGCGGCCCAAAATGAGGGCGACCACGAGCCAGCAATCCAGCGATGGAAGCTATGCACAGTGCTTTCTAGCCAGGCAGTGTCTCGGAGGCGCTCAAAGTGTGGCTCCCATGTATTGAGTAGCGTGAGGTTGGCAGAGCGGGCGGCAGCCGAGACATACATAACCTGTAGGGAGCGCAAGACAGGCGGCGGAGACCAGTCTGCCATCGCTAGAAGGTCGACCTTGCGAAACGTGTTCGGCGGCAAGCTTAGCATCTTGTGAAAAATGTAGTGCTCCCTCTGGGTGATAGCAGTGGGCACAAGGTAGAATTGGGGAAGAGGAGGGGCACGAGGAGGAGAAAGAGGAGGAGGAGGAGGAGGAGGGGAAGCGGGCGGCGTCCCGTGGGCACACAGAGCGGGAGGAGGGCGGACTGGCGCGGGGGGGGAAGCTCGAGGGCAAGCGGGCCCGTCGGGAGCGCCGAAGAGGGGGGCCGGGAACAGGGGGTCAGCGCATCGCGGCCCGAGGCCTGCGCGCGTACGAGGGGGTGGGGTGGTGGTCAGGAAGTGCATCACAAGAAGACGAAGAAGAGCGAGAAGAATAACAAAAAGAAAAATAAGAAGCAACACTAATAGTAATCGCAGTGTTGGAGAGAGTAGCAGTAATAATGATATCAACCAGAGCAGTCATGCGAATACGATTACAGATGCGAATATGAGAATTTGAAGAATCAGCAACACAAACCACTACTACTACTACTACTACTACTACTACCACTACTACTACGACTGCTACTACTACTACTACTACTACTACTACTACTACTACTACTACTACTACTATATTACTAGTACTACTACTACTACTACGACTACTACTACTACTACTACTACTACTACTACTACTACTACTACTACTATTACCACTACTACTACTACTACTACTACTACTACTACTACTACTACTACTACTACTGCTACTACTAATAGCACAGCTACTACTACTGCGAGGGACGACGACGACGACGACTACGACGACTACGACTACGACTACGACTACGACTACGTACTACTACTACTACTACTACTACTACTACTACTACTAACTTACTACTACTACTACTAACTACTACTACTACTACTACTACTACTACTACTACTACTACTACTACTACTACTACTACTACTACTACTACTACTACTACTACTACTACTACTACTACTACTACTACTACTACTACTACTACTACTACTACTACTACTACTACTACTACTACTACTACTGCTACTACTACTACTACTACTACTACTACTACTACTACTACTACTACTACTACTACTACTACTACTACTACTACTACTACGACTACTACTACGACTACTACACTACTACTACTACTACTTCTACTACAACTACTACTACTACTACTACTACTACTACTACTACTACTACTACTACTACTACTACTACTACTACTACGACTACTACTACTACTACTACTACTACTACTACTTACTACTACTACCACTACTACTACTACTACTACTACTACTACTACTACTACTACTACTACGACTGCTACTACTACTACTACAACCACCACTAATATTACTACTACTACTACTACTACTACCACTAGTACTACTACTACTACGACGACTACGACTACGACTACGACTACGACTACTACTACTACTACTACTACTACTACTACT